GTGATTTAAAAAAAAAAAAAAAAACGTGCAGTTTCGTTGCAAAAGGAAATTATTTCACTATTTTCTTTCCTAAATTTTCCGCGATGGATATTGTTTTTTAGTACCCCAAGGTTACATTTCTAGAGTTGTCCCACAGTCTGAACACGTACAGAGGTTTAACAGCTATTCCTGCCAAAAAGAGGCATCGGAGTTTAGTCCAATTCTACAGTTCTCCCGTACACGTGCAAAATACAGCTCTATGGCTCGATCGAGGCTCTTTTTTCTTTACACAGCTATTCAAGCAGCACTGTAATGGATCTTGCGGAACTGGTCTATAGCCCGAGTAGGGTAAGCAAACCCATGCGGGTGTTTGACGTGTTGCCTAAGTGTCGACATTCGGCCCGCTACCACTGGCAAAACCACGACTCCAAGACACCGGAGCGACCCACGGCCAAAGCGTGGATGAAATAATTAAAGAGAGTTACAGATAATGGCATCGGAGTTTAGTTCTGAAGAAAGCCTAAAACAGCCCTCCTGCCCTAACAGGGCACCCCAATCTTAATACGACCGTATAGGACGTTAAAAGTCTTCTTTTTTCAAAAAGGCATTTTCGGGATTTACGATTCTGCATTACAGAATGGAAACTAGAGCAGGTGCGGAGTTTATTCGCAAAAATGCATATTAGCACAAGAAAACGATGTTTCCTCCCACCTCTACACCAGCTGATCGCGTTTCGCGCCAACTTCTCGTTCGGAAAAAGGTGAGTTCTTGTCGTACGTCGTATTCTCGTGATGCAGTGCTGGACCCGTCTTGGCTGTAGAGTGTTGGCTGATAAACTCCGAAGCCCGAACCTCAAAACCCGTGGAAAGACTTGAGCCCCTGTAGCTCTGCGTGCATACCCGCTAACAAGCAGGCCGGCCCGACCATTTTTGTCACGCAATTTGCTGTAGAACATAATCAAATGATGTAACGGGCCTTCGGCCCGCAAAGCCCGTCGTCCTTAAAATTTGCCCCGTAGACACGAGAAAGGGATGTAACGGTGAAACACCGCGACTACAACCCACCCTTCTGCTTGGAAAACGTTTTTTGGGGTGGGGGGAGGAAGTTTCTTACCTCTTTTGCGGTTCTGGGCCTTCTTTTACATTTAATTGTTCACTACAGCAATTTTTTACTTGTTTTCGTCAAACAAGACCCTCTAGCGCCTAAACGGTTAGAGAAAGAGCCAAACGGACGAAATTATTGCCCAAAGGGCTCTTCTTTGACAAGTTACCCCTTGAGACCATTCAATCTTTTCGGAAATTATTAAATTTATTTTTGGGCCACTTTTGTGAGAGAAACTCCCTCTAGCGCCCAAACGGTATAAGATAGAGCAAAACGGACGAAATTTTCGCCCAAAGGGCTCTACTTTTGCAAGTTACCCCTTGGAAGACCATCTAACATTTTCTAAAATTAATATGTTTATTTTTGGGCCACTTTCGTGATAGAAACTCCCTCTAGCGCCCAAACGGTGAGAGATAGAGCAAAACGGACAAAATTTTTGCCCATAGGGCTCTACTTTGACGAGTTACCCCTTAGGAGATCATCAAAAAAATATTTTTTTCTGACTTTTTTGACCTACCTTATTTTCTTTGACACCCCCTTTTAGCTCTTTAGGGGTGGTTGCCAGGATTTGCCGTAGGCGTTTCGTTTTCTAGGAGTGGACCTTAAGATACCCTGAAAATTTCAAGTCTCTAGCACATCTCCTTCTAGTGGAACAGACAGACAGACAGACACACAGACAGACAGACAGACACGAGGTCGTTTGCATAAGCCCGCTGGATAGCTTTTTCAAAGCAGAAGGGCGGGCTAAAATACAACGTGAGAAGGCATGGAAAAATGTGCCGTGTAAACAGGGCTACGATAAAACGGTGTTGTGGGGTTGGACGAGGTTGAATGCCCCAGGGTCGGAGCCTTAATGCTATAGCGAGTAAGCAAACCAGCACACTGATGTGACGTTGGCTTGACAGATGGTACCCTGTTAGTAATGCTAATCTTCATTTTCACCAGGTTGCCCTGTAACTGGGCTTAAAATATTTATAGCTTTGGAAACTATCTTCAAAAGGTAACTTGCCTGTCCGCTGTAGCACATTGGAACGAACACAACAAAGATGATAGGCAGGGAGGATACGGAAAAGGCGTCAACGTAACCCAGGACAAATTCGTAAGTTGCCTGGATGGGCAGCAGCAGTACCGTTGAGAGGATGACTACCATAACGTCTGAGACGAGGTGATCGAGGAGCGAGGCCGTCTGCGTGAGTTGAATGTGCAAACGGACGCAAGCCCGAAGATCATCCGATGTCCTTGCTTCCTTAAGCTTAGTACCTGTCGCCTAGAGCAACGAGAAAAAAATGTCAACTTCGGTCTTTAAGGGAGTCGGGGATCAGTTAGTTAAATAGAGGTCCTCAGCACATTTTAAGACAAAAATTCTTTTGAGGTCCTTCATAGCTGAAAAGGACCGATAACTTCCCCACCCTAGTAGCACAAAACTGTCGTACGACTTTCGGTCAACAGAAGAAAAGAAGATACGGACTATCGGAGCGATATACGAAATGAGAAAAATGATTATCTCCCCTTTTCTCGGAACGAAAATCTTTATCGGCCAGCAATCGCAATGAGAGCGAAAAACCACTGTTGTGAATTTGACCAGGAATCCATAAAAAAGCTAGGTAGATGTACGCTAGACCACGTCTCTAACGGGCTTCGCAATATCTCACGAAACACTGTTACGCTGTGACGCGCCTGGCATACATCGACCTAGGCCTACGGCGCGGCGCTGACACCCAAGTCGGGTAAAAGGCAGAGTCGTAAACAGTCCTTCGGCCCCAAAAGTCACATTTTTTTCCCTTAGGGTTTGATTTTGACAAGTTACCCCACCGGAGACCAAATATCTGAGAACAAACATAAAAATGTTTTGCGGTCATTTTCGTGGAGAAAACTCCCTCTGGTGCCTAAACGGTTAAAGATAGAGCCAAACGGACGAAATTTTCGTCTGAAGGGCTCTACTATAGTGAGTTACCCATAAGAAAACTGTAAATTTATTTTTATTAAAAGTCATTTCTGGGACCTGTAATTTTTCATTTTTAAATAATCCAATTATTGAGCTAGAATCCTCTTCTTCGAACTCGATCTGTCTTTTTATGACACAAAACGGCCCTGAAAATCTCAGGTCGCTAGCTCAATTCGTTCTCGAGCTATCGTGCGTACAGACAGACAGACACACACAAACACACTCACAGACAGACGCGAAACTTTTTGATTATCATCACTGGAGGAACAGGCTTCGCTATCGCTCAGCCAAAAAATTCCAATATGCGCGACAGTTTCGTGTCCTTCCTCTTACACAGATGACGGACGGACTAACACGAGAGCAGCGGTAGCATCAACCCGCTTTAATGCTCTTTTAAAAGCAGAAGGGTGGGCTAAAAATGGCAAATCATTAAAAGCTATTAGATCTCTTGGGACGATGGAGGGAGCACATTCAGTCTTCCTTAAACTTTGTCTAACAAGGGAAGGTTTGCCGGTGATACAGGTAGATTTCAATGGCGCTTTGAAGTGTAGTTGTTTGCAACCCTTCACAAGGTTTAGCACTGTTTTTAGCTACCCGTAGGAAAATTAAAGGTAATTTTCCGCGAATTTAATCAAAAATTCCCTCATTGTATTGTTTTATTGCCACTTTTGCATGTCCATACGGTTTGGGCCGCAGCGCCCAGATTTTGCAAGAAATTGTCTTCCAGTTGGCACGTCCCATGAAAAATAATTCAACAAAATCAGTAGGGGTCACCAACAGGGTCCAGGATCGTAACTTCCCCTTTGGACCCGTTTTTGCGAACGCGAACCTTTTCGATTTCGTTCAGATTTTCTACAAGTGAATAACGTGCCGAATTATGATTTTCCTCAAAATCTGGGCGCTGCACCTTAAACGGTTCTCGAGATGTGTGCATGTAAAGTTGATAATCAGGCCATAAATTAGGCGAATTTTAAGTAAAATCCGCGTAAAACCATAGGCGCGGATTAAGGGCCGGCTGACAAGCCCTGGGAAAAAAAGTAAGTGGCAAAGTGCAAGTGAAGTGGCAGTTGAGTGTCACTTTGTTGCCACCTTGCTAAGGTGGCAGCCAAGTGGATTTTGACATTTTAAGTGGCAAGGGGGCACGCAAGAGGCAGCAAGGAGGTAAAGTGGCCAGCAAGGGGTGAAGAGGCTAGCTGGAGGCAAAGTGGCACTTGAGTGGCAGCATAGAGGCCAGGGGGCAAATACGCCCTCAGATAAGATTTATTGACTTCTATGGCTTTGCTTGGACCAAAAGGACTTTTGCAATAACAATAGAGGACTTCAGAGATCAATACATTTTATTT